AGAGCATTTTGCATCGAACGGAACAAATAGTTGGGCTATAAGGTGGATTAGACAAAACTTGCCAACCCAAAAAAAAAAAAAAATTTTCCAAATAATTTTTAACCGTACTCGCAGCTTGAGGCCGAGCGTTGTCAAGATGGAAAATTATCGGCTCGTGTCTAGTCGCAAATTCCGAGCGTTTTTCAGCAATGACTCGCTTCAATTTGATGAATTGTTGTCGGTAGCTTTCCACATTAATGGTTTCACCCGGTTTTAGAAGCTCATAATAAAGCACGGTCTTCTGATCAAACCAAGCATTAGCTTGTCATCATTGACATTCGGCTTTGCCGTTGATTGGCCAGGATCCACACATGGTTTTTGACATTTAGGGTTTTCGTAATGTATCAATTTTTCATCACCAGTCACAATCCAAAACAAAAACGACTTCTTTTCGTGGCGTTCAAGCAGCATTTCTGGCATACAACTCGGCTTTCAATGTCTCTTGGCTTCAATTCATATGGCACCATTCATGCTTCTAAACTTAGGTGACCATATTTGTCCTGGCAAAATCCGAGACGGTTTTTTTTAGTCATCGATTTTTTCCATATTTTAATTCAATGAAAATTGCGACATACAATAGGTGAGAGAGCAACAAAATTTAACTCAATTCATTCTAAATTTTTTAATTTTTAAGAGGCCGGGACGCTTAACTCGGAATCCGGACTGTTCCGGCCAAACCGGGACTAATGGTCAGCTAATTCTAAACGTTTTGAAATGTCGGCTTACGTGACAGCCAAAACTTCTGCTAGCTCATCTTGTATTTTCCAATCTCGTCACTTAAGTAAAAAATAGTATCGGCTAATCTTACACATTAGCTTTTTCTGTACGTTCTGTTGTTATTTTGGATCTAAAACGGTATATGTAAAACCTAGACTTTTAGTATGAAGTATTTTGTGGAGATATGAATAAGAGACAAATCTATATTGGTTGTGCATAACAGTTTTCTGAATACCTGAAGTATACAGGATGGTTGAAAAGTGCATGCGCTCGAAATGAAAAATACTGTTTTTGGTACGAAATATATTTTTTTATTCAATATAATATCACTTAACTTCAATACACTTATTCCAATGATCCTCTAATAATTTTATGCCATCCCTATAATGGCTTTCCAGAAGCTCTGCAAAATATCCGTCTACGTGTAAAATGCGTTTTGAAGGTGAGGACTTACTATACACTTCTAACATTTTTTCATAAATTTACTTTGCTTTTAAACCTTTCAAAACAAAGAATCTAATCCCTGTGCGATATTGAAAATTTTCCATATTAAAAGAATACTCTTCACTTCACCTTCAAATGGCTTGTAAACAAAGAATTTGGTGAGCACTACTCACTTTTCAAACATCCTGTATATATAACATAAATAAACACTTCGATAATTGCCATTCTTTGCTAAGATGCAAATGCTTTCCTAAAATTTTTTTTTTTTTTTTTTTACACAGGCTTGAACTAAGATCGAATCTAGATCTTATCTTTATATATCGAAAAGATATAATGGAATAAACATATGTATTCTTTATTTATTGTCTTGACCTTAAAAATGCTCAAACTGATTTTTCAAATAGCGGACAATAATAAAAAGTTTATTATCAGCATTTCGTACACTCACGCTTCAATACCCTTTGAATAACTGACCTTTACCCTAGCCACTGTAGGATTTCATAAAAAAAGCAAACAATAAATTCAAGTTTCCTTTTATGAACAAATTTGCATTTGGGTTTAAATATTTGTGAACCAAAGGAAAATTTTACAAAAAGTAAGATGAGCAAGAGGAGCTCAACCTTTTTATAACACACACCTGCTGCGCGATTTGCTAAAAAGCTTCGCAAAGTCTTTGTTAGTTGTTGTTAACAATAAGTAGACTCAACCAGACGTGTTTTGTTGGCTTTGGCTCGCGCACGTCAAAATTCAATTTTCTCGCAAATTCACGTTTTTACAAACGAAATGAACAACAACAAAAACAAGCTTTGCAAAAGTGGGTGCCGTCAACAGGCTAATAACAAAGGTGCAACTACGCCGTCACCTAATGACAAATACGGCAACAACAACAATATGGAACAAGTAAACTAAGCAAAAACCTTTGAGAAGCGCTCAAAATTGACGCTTTTGTGCTTACACACACATATCTACATATTGGATATGTTTGGTTGTGTTTTGCTCGAACTCTTTGTATTGGCTTACATACATTTATAAATACTTGTGCGCGTATTTGTATTTATGTGTGAGTGTTTGCCAAAATGTAATCCTTTTTATGAGCTGTCGCGCCATTCAAGCGTAACCAACAACAAAGCGGCTAACAAAGCAAACACCATCGCACATACATATATGTGTATGTGTGTTTGTATATAAATTCCAATCAAGCCGTCAAACCGTCAACGGGCCAACTAAAATGGGTGCATAGGTACCGTTATATATAAAGCAGGTTTTCAAACTTGTGTTGTGACATTTTAGCGTTAAGTGCTTCTACTCATACAGACACACAAACACACATACATACACAATGTGTATTTGTAAAGCGCGAGTTATGTCATGTCAGGTTGTGATTGTGGGTGGTGATAAGAATCGGATACGTATATGATCCGACGGATATGAAAGGCTTATCTTTTAATCGATTTTTAAATGACACAAAAGTGTGTTGGCGGGATTGCACTTAAGCGCCACTTTACTTCGCTTTCACAAACATACACGCACATAACGGTTTGACGACATGCATTTTAACATCTACAATATATATGCACATATAATCGTATATAGACATTCGAGCAATAAAAGAGCAACTAACAAGCCTAGTTTTTTTGCCGACCTAAGACAGATCATTTTTCCCACGTATCTATATAAGTATTTGTATATGTGCAAAAATTTGTTGTTGTAAAGCGTGATTTAAAAAATTGTTTTATGGCTTTGTGCGCTTAACTGATATGTCTTTATTGATTTAGCTGCCTCAATAATTACTCACATATTTTATCATTGGCCCAGTGTACAAATTGTTTGACCTGCTTGATTTGTGGGATTTAGTGTTTTGGTATTTAAGAGAAAATTAATTGCATTCCGAATTTTATTCGCAAATCTCACTGTCAGTTGAACGTTTATGAGCGTGTGTGTATTTCGTTAATTATTTCTATCATATCATACCCGAAACTATTTATGCTTTCAAGTAAGTTTGGCATTACATTTTGAACCACGTAATGTATGATTTGGTGGTTATATTCCAAAGCAGTTTTGTTTGAACTCAAAGTCTTTAACTAAGTCAATAAAATTAAGTCAAACCATAGATATAGAATATTTAACTTCCTCGAAACCAGAGTAAACTGCGAAAACTATTTTTGCAAACATATTTTTTCTTGCATTATCTATAGGTTCACTAACAAAATTTATTAAAAATTTGGAGACTCTAGTTGTACTAGCTCTAATGCCATCTTATGCACCATTTTGTGCCCATATTTTAGTCCAATATCTTGATGAAACTTGGTACATATGGTATGTGGCTTGTCACCCAAGAAAGCTTGCTATTGCAGATGAGCGGAATCAGATCTTTGCCACGCCCACAAAACGCCTTTAATCAAAAAGTGTAACTAAGCCCTAAAATAAGCTATAAGGCTGTTATTTAGTATAAGGAATTGCATTAAAGAGTGGCATCTTTGGTTGAAAAAACTTCTAAAAAGTGGTTGTGGCCCTGCCCTCTAATTAGTTGATTGTATGTCCATTTCTCCTAAATCGTTCAAGCTTTAATAACCAAATTCGCTCAGGGAAATTTTTTTTAACATTCCGACGCACCCTGTGAATACGGATAATAACCCTACCCACTCCTCATATAACGGTTTTTTTAAAAACAACTAAAAGTGCGATAAAATATATAAATGAAAAGGTTTTATAGGAGCGCATATCTCTGGACCTACTAGATCAATTTCAATAATTTTCGGTATGTAATATTATCCTGTAATTCATACATTACAGTGTGAAAATGTGCGCAATCGGACGAAACCACGAAACCTACCCTCCATATAACACAATTTTTAATTCCATCACATTCTTTCACTTTCCAGTATACAAATCAAAAACGAATCAATTTATCTAGATACAACTTTGCACGTATAGTGCCTATGAGGTGTGCCTTATCGAGTCTAAAAATTGTCCAAATCGGACCAAAACTATTCAAGCATCCTGATACCGAATCTGTGGCCTCCAGTTCCTATTGCGAACTTTGTATCGAAAATATCAGTCAACCTGTGAGATATATTATAAATATTCGGAATCGGAATCCTTTTCTGACTTTACTTGTATGTATGTCAAAAATGAGTTGAATCAGATCAATAATTCCCTTAGCTCCCCCATACCTAACAGAAAGATTTTCGAATTTCCGGCTGTCTTTGTAAAGCATAGCAAACATGTGAGTTATCTTAATAAAATTGAGAAAACGTGTTTTCCTAATAACGGTGCATCTTTGGATAAAGTCGGGTGAAAATATGCGCTAGACCACATACAAGTATAATGAATATCAGAATTTTAAGACATCTACTTGCCTTACTCCTTATATATTGGTGATGTTATGTGAGGTACCTTAATGAAACTCAGAGTGCCTCTTTTTCTATTTAGAATATGTAGTATTAGACCACCAATTACCCAAACATCCATATATCAAAAGTCTTAGAATGAGAGAGTCTTATAGAGTTACCAAAAAATCACAGTTTCTTTCGCCAGCTGCGACCGTTTCTACCATTCTAGTGATCATCAAAATTGTTTTTGTTTAACAACAATAAAGTACTTAAAAGAATAAATTATTGTAAGCCTGAACTTTTCCTGATAAAAATATTATAGCAACATCTATGTATATTATATAATAGTTCACGTGACTCCATCTGTGCATGTAACGTCTGATATGTTCGTTTTTTTCCACTTTTTCTTATTTGATTTTGTAAAGAAAACCAATCAAAACACATATAAAGCTCATTCTGAAAAAGACGTGTAAATTTATTTCTTCAGGCTAAAGAAAAATATTTATAATAAATTATAAAATATGTCTACGCGTCGATCAATATGGCGTCATGAGACAATTGCATCGGTATCGCTTTCTAGAGATGTGACGGATCACTTGAGGGGCAGTAAAAAATGGGAGCTCAGCATATTGAGGGTAAAAACCACGACAGGAAGAGACAACAATTTTGTTATTTTTTTCTTATGTAAATAATTAAAATTTTTTTTGGCTTTAGGAGTATTGCAGAGAAAAGGATATGGAGGAGTTCTACAAGGGCTACATGCGACGCCTGCACATAAATCAACTTTATTCGTTTATAGTAATGCTCGTGCTTAATACAGGTATTCACGCAGGGCTGCTGCTCGCCACACTATCGTCACAGGTCGGTAATTGCTAATAAAAATATCGATTATTTAGAGAATTTAAGATAATAAAAAACAAAAATATTTTAGGAAAGAAAAGAGACCTACAGAGATGTGTGCATATATATTGGTGCCACCATACTGATAATTATCATATTAGCAATCGGCTTAAAGAGGCAAAAATCATATACGCTAAGGACTAATGTGATATCGTTTCTGGTCGTCGTAGTGCTCATTGGAATGGGTGAGTGGGTAAAGTGAAAAAAGGTTAATTCACTTAAAAAAGTGTGATATACCGCTAATGTCCTCATAACTATTAACGCCAATTAATATTTTTTCTTACCCGCAGATGTCTCTGTACCACTTCTGCATACCTTAAGGCGCAATATCACCTTACCAGTTTATATGAATTTCATCATAATCTCTATATATTGCTTTATGCCGATTTTCAGCGATATTTATGCGATTATATTGGGAATTTCGGCATCGGCATTTTACGTGGTCTTTTTGAAATTACAAGTCTATGTTTGGACAGAGCAGGGTTCGAAAAGTTTTGACTACACAAAAGGCACCGCCGAATATATAGCGTTATGCTGTATGAATTTTTTTGGGATATTTATGCGTTTCACACGCGAAATGAACATACGCATGACATTTCTGGATAAACGTCAGTGCATAGAGGAGGATCTACTGTTCCATGCTGCTAAAGACCAAGAGGTATATATAAAAAGGTTTTATATAGTGATTACTAATTAAGTGAATTCTTGTTTTTTTTTTTTTTTTTTGTAGAAAAGTCTCTTATTGAGTATGATACCACAGCAGATCGCGAAACAAATTGAGGAGGATGTTAAGCTGCGCATTGAGCTTATGAAAAACCCAGACTCGGCGCATTCGTTAGAAAAAATAAGGTTGGTTCAGTAGATTGCGCGATCAGTTTATGGGAAAAATTGGATTATCTGCTGCTTAAGAACACATTATCTGGATTAGTCTTTTAGACTAACATATGGTCAAATTAAAGAAACACGCAAGTTTTTCTTTCAGTAAAATATTTTTTTTTAACTTTTAATTTACCACTACCGAATTGGTGGTAAAATCGAACGACTGCAACGGAATGATGTTACGCAACAAAATTTCGTCACGCTAGCAATATACAGAGCGCCAACTTATTCATTCGGTAGGACAATTTTTTTTTTTGTTGGATTGTGCAGTGTAGTCTTGGGCTGTTTCAACAAAAATATTAAAAAGGTTGCCATATACATATTTTAAATTTTTAAGTAAAACATAAAAATATGCAGACAAGAAGCCATTAAAAAGCATTTATTAAATTGAAGAAATTTATAGTAGCGTTGCCACTTAATCTAAATTAATCTAAATTTTTTTCTCAGTGAGATTGATTGAATAATCATTGATTTAAATATGAATAACAAAGGAGAGGTACTAAACAGGGTCAAGAAAAAATTCTGTCGGACATATTATTTAAAAAAGTTACCACCTGTGTGAAAAACTTTATTCACTTTTACTCACGAGATTGATTATACGACAAAGGGTCACCCAAATTCAAACTTATTCCAGTGGTTCGGTTTGTTGTGGATTTTGTAAAGCTGAAGACGCTCAAATCTGTATATAACAATCTTATGAGCAGTGTATGGTTAACAAGGAAGGTTTTGTGGAGCTAAAGACACACAAAGCTATATCACATTTTAAAAATTTTACTTAAACGATAAATTTATTGTAGTTTTCTGATATTTTTATTACTTGCCTCAAATATTTTCCACAGTATAAAAATTTGTGATTCAGCTAAATCTGAAAGCTTACTTTTAAAACATTTAAAAACGCTTCAATTCTATATTGTTTCAGAAAGCTCTTCATAGAGCCTCACGACGATGTCACGATTCTTTATGCGGACATAGTCAACTATACCAGGCTCACAACAACTTTGGATGCGAAAACCCTTGTGGAGACGCTACATGAACTCTTTGTGAGATTCGATGACGGCGCACAGGTGAGAACATGTATTTTTCGACTTACTTTCAAGAAGCCCTCATTTTAATAAACTCTTCAATACACAGGAGTTAGATGTCTTGAGAATACAGTTCTTGGGTGATTGTTATTATTGTGCGGCGAACGTTTCCATACCCAACGAAGAGCACGCCAGAGCTTGTGTGAAACTTGGCCTGCGCATGATTGACGACATACGTGAAGTGGGGTGAATAAAATCATATTTATTTTAAATATAATATTTCACATTACGAAGATTTAATAACAACTTTATATATATGTTTATATATCTGATATTTGATGTTTTGTAGAGAGAATAGACATTTAGGTATTGATATGCGCATTGGCGTACATTCCGGCAGTGCCTTATCCGGCGTTATCGGCGCCACCAAGTGGCAATTTGATATATACTCGAAAGATGTCGAAATCGCCAATCACTTGGAAAGCACTGGCTTGCCGGGTAGGGTACATATAAGTAAAGAAACCTTGGAACGACTGGATAAAAGATTTGAATACGAAGCGGGTACAAAAGCGGCACGCTTTGATCCACTCTTGCGAAAACACCAAATCACCACATTCTTAATTATAAGACCCCAGGTGAGTGCGAAAGAAAGGTGAAAGGTGTAAGGTGTAGTGTTAAGGGAATGTGAAATTAGAAGAAAAGGGTATATAAAGTTTGCCACAAAGTTTGCAGCACCCAGAAGCAAACGTCGCCGACTCTATAAAACATAAATATGATCGATATCCTTCTGAAATTTTACAAACATCCTCTCTTACGCAAGACGCTGCTCATTTGTCGGCATCGTCGATATCATACTGCTATAGCATATAGCTGCCATATAAACTGACCGTTTAAAACCAAGATGTAGAACTTTTTATACCCTATTATTCTCAAAAAAAAAAGGCACATATGAAGAGTATTATAGCTACCGTGCAGCCAAAGTTAATGTTTTTTCTTGTTTCTTTATAACGAAAGGTTGAAGTAGGCGTACAAATGCGACGATCGATATTTACGCGAGGAATGTCCACTGATGAGGCAAGTTTCAGCTGATAATTGTGGAGAAAAAATTTTAAAATAATTTCATGTTCATATTGAAAAATTTAGGAATTTAAAGATGTTGATTCGGTGCAAAAAATGAGAACGCTGGTGCATTTCGAGATGAATCAAGAAAGTAGCAAATTTCCAATTTTCGGTTTGGTGCAGCAGTATGTTAATGGATGTTACTAAAAATTAGAAAAATGTTTTCAAAACTTTTTTCATCTTGTAAACCATAGGTATAAAAAATTGATGTATGGACAACGTTCACGCGGCAGAGGGAGTGAGAGTGAAAAGTCTAATTTCTATGCGAACATTTCATGGCTTTTTTTGTGCTACAAGAATTGGCGTTGGGAGTATAACTACATTCAACAATCCGATATATTACACAAATACAGCGTACTAATCAGCATGTTAGTCACCTGGGGCTTAATATTAATACAATATTTCAACGGAGAGTAAGTGTATATACTTGTATATATATATATATATCTTGTTGTAATAGCAATTGCTTATTTTATCAGACAAATTTCTATATTTTGGGATTTCGCGATTTGCACAGTGGTTTTTTTCCTAGTCATCGCTTGTTTGATGTGGTATAGAAAAGCGTGGTCATACTTTTGTGGTACAGTACTAATAACGGGGCCCAGACAAAAGCTCAGCTACTGGATATACAAACTTTCGGATAAAGCACAAAAAAGTCTCAAGTTTCGTACCATCGTTTATTTGTCAATAGTACTGATACAATTCTGTTTGATTACAATGCAAATGGTAACGTATACACAGGCAAATATACAAAAATACCGACATGTTGTACAGAATGAAATGGTTTCGTTCACCTAACGGTTGTTTGAAACACTTGAAACTATCAAAACAAGAAAAAACGTTAACTTCGGAGGCACGAAAGCTATAATGTCCTTCACAAATACAAAAGATTCCATACCAGAACTTGATTTTGATTGGTCAGTTTGTATGGCAGCTATATGCTAGAGTTTTTCGATTTGAACAATTTCTTTGGAGATTATATCACATTTTTAGACAATAACCCGTGCCAAGTTTCGTGAAGATACCTCGACAAATACAAAAGCTTTGCATATAACGGCTGGATTTTGATCGATCAGTTTATATGACAGCTATATACTATAGTGATCCGATTTGAATAATATGTTCGGAAATTGTAGCGATGCTTTAGGTAAAAATTCATGCGAAATTTTGTGAAGATACCTTGTCAAATAAAAAACATTTCCATACAAGGACTTGAGTTTGATCGATCAGCTATTTGTTATCGTTGTCCGATATCGATATCTTAGAAATTAAGAGGTCTACGAAGTTTCCTTTTCTGTGTTACAAACACCGTGGCAAACTTAATACAAGTATACCCTGTTTAGGGTATAAAAATGTATTAAGAAGAAACGAATAACTGTCACAAGACAAAATCTCGTACGACACCAGTACTACAGTTCTATATACATATATGTATTTTCTTTAGCTAGATTGCAATCAGTTCCAAGTTGTGAATGAAGTTATCGAAACTCATGCAAATCAGAATGATATAAATAACGTATGCTTTGTGCCCTGGGTAAGTCAGCACAAATGTTGTCTAAATTTAATGTTAAGTAAATGTTTATATAGCATATTTAATTGTATACTACATTTTCAGGCTGTCACCGAGTCTGTGGTGATACATGTCGGCACAATATTTTTATTCACGCACATTTCTTACATTTTAAAATGGATCATTGCACTGTCCGTGACCATATTTTATATAATTATAGTATTTGCGGTCTATGATTTCTTGTTCGAATATAGCGTAAGCTCCAATCCATATTTCTTTCCCCAATTCGCACATATAATGGTGCTGTGTAGAACCGCTTGGATATTCCATATAATGAACAGAGAAATTGAATTTATTTCACGAATGGACTTTAAGTGAGTAAAATGATTATTTGTTGCTGATTGTATCGTAAATGTTTTTTTTTTTTTACTATTTCACAGTTGGAAGCATGAGCTGAGAAAGAAAAAGGAAGACGCAAAATTTACAAACCAGACCATTTCAATTTTGATTGCTAATATTTTACCAACCCATATAGGTAAATTATTTTAAATAAATGTTTATTTTTTTATTTACGAAAGAATATTTAACATAAATATCGATTTTTTTTTGTTTCGTATTGAGGATTTCTATTTCGAACTACATTTTTCTAAACGAATTTTGATAGTATAACCCATTTGCTCCCCCAGTGTATAGTGTTCCACAAGTTCACATACGTATTTTCTTTGACAAGTGTTCAGTGCTCCACAAGTTGACAAAGGTATTTTCTTTGCATATCTTTGATTTCTTTGACAACTTTTTATTAATAATTAGACTTGAATTAAAACTAGGTTAATCTTGCTTGTTCCTCAACTTCATGCCAATAAGTGCTACAAAATTTCCGCTAAAAGCAACATTTCTTAGAAGAATTAAATGTTTTAACTCGTTTTTCTTAAATAAGTTGAGAACAGTTCTTAAGAAGTCTCAATTGAAACTGGGCCTGCATTTTTGTCTTCTCTTCTCCACAAAAAATATATTATTTGCTAAAAACTATCTGAAATAAGTACAAATATGTTAAACGATCTTATAAATATAAATTTTTTTTTTACCCTATACTTTCGTAAAGTGAGTATTTATATGAAAGATCAGTTGACGAGTGAGCTCTGCTATGAGGAATATGAAAATGTGGCAGTGATGTTTGCAACCATACGGAATTACGACACCGAACAGGTTGGAATGCGTGTTTTGAATGAAATCATTTGTGATTTTGATGAAGTGGTGAGCGAAAAATTTGATTTTTTTTTGTACTTAGATGCTATAGTTGTATTTAAAAAATTTAGCTAAGCACATACCAGGGCATCGATAAAATTGAGAAAATCAAAGTTGCTGGTTGGACATATATGGCTGCATGTGGTTTAAATGCTGGTAACTCAATAATTAAAAAAAATCGAATGTTCTCCACATCGTCGTCCGGTAAGCATACTATTATACTTAAAATAGTTTTTATACTCACGCAACGTGATACGAAGAGTATTTTTCTCCGTTCGTCCGCGCTTTTGACGTTGCAAGCGATAACGCGAGTTAAAATTTAAATATCTGAATGAAACTAGGCACATATTTAGGATAGTATGCCGTAAAAAAGTTGGACTGGACCATCGTTACGTCTTTAACTTGGAAATTGACAAAGTCGAATCACAACCAACCAATCATATTCTTTCACTTGAATCGTCCGCTAAACAAAACTTGTGTATGCGGTAACTCTCTTGTTAAAATTATAAAAATCGGTCGTAATCTTTTCAGGCGTCCCCACATGAGTCCCTAAGATTCCGTTCCAGTCGGGTCGCAACTGACCTGACCTTTTATCCCAAATGCTGTAAACTCGGTAGCAGCCCTCGAAAGTAGTCGGGAGAATTTTACTGCCGCGTCAACCATAACAATAATCATGCAATTTTGTGGCGTATGAGATCATTTAATATGACACCAAATATTAGGTCAAAGCTTTGTGGACAATTCAAGCCTTTGAGCCTTCAGAGTATATTATCTCAATATATTCTCATCTATTTGTTTATATTTTAGCTGGCGATATTAATGCAATTTTATCGAGGAGTATCTTCTCAGAATTAAATGATGCACCAAATGATATACTTAATCCGGATAGTACAACTGTGGGAAATGATGTTGTATTCGTTATGCTAAGCTTTGCTTTGGATCTTCTGCAAAAAATGAAAGAATTCAACGAGGAGAATATTCAAACTGATGATAAGAAACGTAGTCAAGGTGCTTTGCGTATTGGTAATATACTAAGTCATTGCTAAAACCTAATTTAATATATAATTGTGTGTGAATAAGAAAAACTCATTAAGAAAAAGAAATGAAAATAGTTAATAAGCTCAGGCTTAAATAATGAACGTATTTTAATGCGTTTTTCCTAACAATTTTCCATATCGAATATCACATCTTACATATATATATGGTTTAATACCTCTATTATAGGCATATCGAATGGTCCTGTTATGGCCGGCGTTGTGGGCTTGTATAAACCATTTTATGATATTTGGGGCAATGCTGTTAATATGGCCTCACGAATGGACTCCACCGGTTTAGAGAATTCAATTCAGGTTACTGAGGAGACTGCAAATATATTGAAGGCTTACAATGTTGAATGTACATATAGAGGACAGACGTATGTTAAGGGACGTGACTATATTCCCACTTATTTTGTAAATATTGATGACGACTTAAATTTCGTGCAACGAGTGAGTGAGGGAACTGAAACCGCCTTTGATATTGAAACGCCATAAATTTATATAACTAACTTAAGTAATATTTGTAAATGCTTAAAGTAAAATGAGATTTATGAGATAATTAATAAATTGAGTGGCCAATGGCCGAGAATAAACCAGGTTTAAAGCTAGTAAATAGAGATATAGGTATATAGATATATGCATATTTTATAACAATGCTTCATTCGATATTAGAGAACACCAAGAGTCAATGTTGCGAAGGATATGTTCCAGCTTTCAAACACCTTATTAGTCAAAGTAAGTTTTCAATGGGAGATGGCCAAAAAAATGGCTCAAGTTTTTCATACGCAGATGTATGGGCGCCAGAACTTATTCCTCGAGTGACCCTTTAAGCTAACGGAATACTGAGTATCTGCCAGGCGGAAGTCTTTTCGGTCAGGTGAGCGGCTGAGATAGGTAACAACGCAGAAAACAATATAAAAAAGATCAAGATATACGTCGATAGCCAGGCGCCAATAATCTCACATCGTAGAGCATATTCTTTGAAGTAGGAGGGTTGATTGAAAAGTGAGTAATGCTCACCAAGAAATAGCACTACTAGCTTCCATCAAGTTGGAACAACCGTCGTGTAAACACCTGCGAAATTAAAAGATATTCTATCAATTAATTCTTTATTGAAATGAAATTTATGAAGAATTGTTAGAAGTGTATGAGGAATCCTCATCTTCACAACGCACCGCATTTTGAGCTGGTGAATTTAAACGTGGTCGTACTAGGCATGAAGACGATTCACGCGAAGGACGACCAAAATCCGCAACCACACCTGAAATCACTGAGCAAGTTCATAATATTGTTAGTGAAGATCCAAGTTTGATTAAGCGTGAAATTGCTAATGCCTCATGGCATCTCAGATGAACGAGCACTTCATGTTTTACATGGAGAATTACATACGACAAAGCTGTTTGGAAAGTTAGTGCCGCACACGTTAACAATTCAACAAAAATTGGATCGAAAACAAATTTCTTATCATAATTTGGAGTGTTGTAAGCAGAATAAAACCGATTGAATGCGTCATTTTACAACTATGGATGAGACTTGGATCTACCACCATGATTCTAAAGGAAATTTTTCTTATTGATTATCTGACGAATTGATTATCTGACGAATAAAAATACGAATTGCTTGAGCAGACACCATATTCACCAGTTTTGGCTCTCAGCGGCTACTAGCTCTTCAGAAACCTGAAACAATTCCTTCGTGGAAAGAGTCATTCGATGAATGAAGAAGCTATTACAGCCGTACACGGGTATTTTGCAGAAGTCGTTACAGCGATGGCATACAATTATTGGATGATCATTGGAATGCTGTGGCACGTAGTTTCATGCACACCGATCTATCGAAATCATTAAAATAATCCGTATACCCTGAATAAGGCATATTAAGTTTGCAACGATGTTTGTAAAACTCAAAAGGAAACGTCGGATACCCTATTAAGTATATATGTAGGATCAGCGTGACGAGCCGAGCCTGTTTAGCCATGTCCGTCTGTACAAACGCAAACTACTTCCGCAGTTTTTCAGATATCTACCTGAAACTTTGCACACGTCCTTTTCTTAAACAAGATGCGCTCATGTGTCAGTACCGGCGATATCGAGAACTATAGCATATAGCTGCCATACAAACTAACTGATCGCAATCAAGTCTTTTTATGGAAAACTTCTGAAAAAACTGACAAAATATCTTCACGAAAATTTCCATACATGATTGTCAAATGAAATGCTTTAATATCCGAACGATCGGACTACTATAGCATATAGTTGCCATACAAACCGAATGGTCAAAGTCGAGAAAATAATCTTTTTTCACACTTTTATACTGTAGGAAATGCACCAGTGAAGTGTCTTATAGTTTCGGTTGAGCCGAAGTAAACTTTTTTTCTCATTTTGTTCAAAAACGGTATTTCGAAAACTACTTCTACTCTTACAGTTCTGTAAGCATGAATGTAAACACTTGTTAAACGAAATAAAATGTGAGTTGCGTCAAATACGAAAGGAATAGTATTAAACGAAAACCGAACGACAACTCAATCATCAATAAAATCAGCTGAGAGTGTCGTTATAATTTTTTCGTTATAAATTGATTTTTCTCAAATAACGATGTATGCACCGTACGATCGTAATCGTAAAGCTTCTGTCAATGTTGGCACAATATTAGACGATGTGACACATCAGTTTAAGGGCAAAAATGAGCTAAGCGTGTTGAGGGTAAGACGCGTCGCATAAATCTTAAATATACGGTTAATATAACGTACTGAGATATTTTTGCAGGAGCATTGTCGCAAATATGACGTGGAAAAGATTTACCAAACCTACATGGCGCGTCTGCTTCGAATACAATTAACCACCTTCTTGACAATACTCATCACCATAACATTCATCTATTGTGTGCTGTTGGTCAATTCTGACCAGGTTCAAAGAAATTTTCTTCAAAAATAATATGTAAAATATTCTAATAAAATTTGATTTCAGGCAGCGACTGACATATCTATTTATATGGTATTCACAATTTTGGCTGTCGTGGCTATTTATATAGGCATATGGAAGAAGGCGATTACAAAATTTGCTTGGATTATTTATGTAGCAGTTCTGTCAATACTATTTCTTACAGCAATGGGTGAGTCAAGAAAAAAGTAGAAATAAAAAATTAAATTACAAACATACTTGTATATATTGCAGTTAATTTGAGTTGATGTTTTTACACGCTTTACAGATATAACCGTGCCGGTAGTGCACGCCGTCACACATTATGAGATCTTTGTACCACTATTCTATAGTTTCATAATCTATTCAGTTTACATATATATGCCGTTTTTTAATCATCGTCAACCTTTCATTTTGGGAGTTACAATATCACTGTGTTATATTATATTATTCCTGACGATAACGCATCGCATGAAAGTTGATGGTGGCAGCAATATGGACGAAGAGAAAATCATATCGGAAATTTTGTTCATGGTGGGGCTCAATTTATTGGGTTTATTTTTTCGCTTACCACGTGAAATAGTGATAAGACAAACCTTCATAGACAAGCGTGAGTGCGTTGAAGAGGATCTTCTGTTGCATGCTGCGAAAACTCAAGAGGTGCGTTATAACCAAAACAAAACTTTTTCTCAAAAGTTGGGTTATCTAAAATTATAATTTTTCTCTTTGAACAGAAAATATTATTACTAAGCATGATACCGGCACCAATCGCTGATAAAATAGAGGAGGATATAAAGTTGCGTTTAACGCGCACGAGTTTAACTTCGCGCAGACGTTCGTCTTTTCAGCGAGAAGCGGAGTGAGTATAAAATATTGAAGAAAAAATCTATGCCGGCTCTCTCAATAAACACTGTTGAGCGCTCAGATATTAAGCTGAAGGTGCCCAGCGCTTTTGAAAATCGAGTTAAGTGAATGCTGATATCGCGACGACCTTTTTCAACAAATATTATAACATTTGCATCAAATTTTCAAGAGGTTAAAGAGTTGGTGCCAACTATTTATTTTAGGGTGAATTTTTTTACATCTATAGTAAGTCTGATCTTACTTTATGCCTTGAATTATTCTTATGAAGCTCAGTACCTCTAAAGTAAGTTTGGTCCTACTTTATTTTTTGAACTAGTTAGAAATATTTTCAAAATTGCTTAAACTCGGTTTAGTGGTCTCTTTCTGATTAGAAAGGACTTTTATTTTGATTTTATGAAAGAGGAAATCAAGTTATACTTGAACAAAGAAACCAGTGGCGGATTTGCAATTTATTTCTGGAGGAGTTTTGCCTACGAACATATTTTTAGTATTGATATTACTTAAGTCTTATGAATTTGAATTAAAATTTCTAATTGGAAGGAAAGGTTACCCAAACCCCTCCGTGGCTCAGCCACTGAAATGTACCATTATTGTTAAAATTTTTCTTAGAACTTACAGGATATTATACTAAGAGTCATAAGATATCTAAAGGTTAAAGGGAGGAGCACTAAAGCTTATGGACAAAAGTATTTAATACTCTTTTTTGACAGATTAATTCTTTGCGTCGCGTCTCAGCGGGATTTTAGATCCTCTTTAGCATTAGATCTCTACAATTATATAGAAAATAAGGTAACAATGTTCTATAGCAAGATTTTCAAGTCTAAGAAATCTTAGTAGAAAGACTGTATTTCTAAAGGTTTTTGTATATTAATAATTTGATTTAATTATTAAAGCGTCTTTTTGTATCTACGCTTTATGAAATAGATTACTATATAGAAAACTCTTCATTGAAACACACGACGATGTGACAATACTCTACGCTGATATGGTCAATTATACCAAACTAACAACCACTGTGGATGTGAAAACACTTGTGGAGACGCTACATGATCTCTACGTTAGATTTGATGATGCTGCTCTGGTAGTTATACCATTAATTTTCACTCGATTATCACCACATTTACATGAGAATTCAATCACTTACAGGATTTGGATGTCCTGAGAATACAGTTTTTAGGCGATTGCTACTATTGTGTGGCGAATGTCTCGATACCCAATGAAGATCACGCTAATGCTTGTGTGCGACTTGGTCTACGCATGATACAGGAGATACACACGGAGCGGTGCGTAACTGTTAAATTGGTAAAATTTCCAGTAACAAAGAAATATATATATATATGATACCTCACAGAGATACCAGAGACTTGGAAATGGATATACGCATTGGCGTGCATTCGGGTAGCGTATTATCTGGTGTCATTGGCGCTACTAAATGGAAATTCGATATTTACTCGAAAGATGTTGAGATCGCAAATCGTTTGGAGAATACCGGCGTACCCGGTCGTGTACACATTAGCGGTGAAACCCTCGAACGTTTAGATGATGAATTCCAATATGAAGATGGTACAGAGAAAGCTGTCAATGATCTGTTATTGCAACAACATAGCATACGTACGTATCTGATTATACCGCCGAAAACGGTAAGTTTTTGTGATTTTATTGTACATATTTAGTAACAATTGCGCTGAATTTGTTCCATTATAGTCTAAATATAAAGAGACGATATCAAATAATACATTAATGAGTCGGTTTTCTTTTCTGAAGGGCTCTCCACTGGGTTCAGCAGCGGTATAATTTGTCTTAATACTTCAATATTGTGTATTTAATTTATGCTAACGTTTCATTTTGTATTTGTTGTGTAGGATCTGAAAACCGTTTATTCTGGTGATATAATACAAAGAATGGTGGATATGGAGATGCGCCGAGAGAGTACAAGCATTCCGGTCGAAACTCTACAGTAAGTACTAGGAAGTTCAAATTTTTTACAAGATTTTCTAGATTTTAATTGTTATCTAAATATTTATACGCTTGCAACATGTTGTCACAGAGTATAATATTTTTTTTAGCTAACGATTGCTTGCATTAACTAAAGTTAATCGATTTATATATAAGGATTAAGATGACGAGACGAGTTGAAATCTGGGTGACCGTCCGTCCGTCTGTCCGTGCAAGCTGTAACTTGAGTAAAAATTGAGATGAGAACGTTAGTATTGCAGATGAGCGCAATCGGTCCACTGCCACGCCCACAATTATGTCATTAATCGAAAACCTATAAGGCGACATTACTAAGCTCCAAAATAAGATATAAAATGATATGAAATTTGGTATAGAGCATCTTAGTAGTAAGGGGAATCTGTAGACTGAAATTTTGAAAAAAAGGAGGTAGCACCGACCTCTACTGGGTTTATTATACATACAAGTATATCCCACCAGGTCTGCTAAATTTGCTCAGAACAATGCTTTTTGTAATTTTCTATAATGCCAAAAATTGGGTCAATACTATTCCTATCTCTCATATATATAACTAGTCTAAGATTTTCAAAGGTCCGCTTGACTTTATACCGTATACTCGTATATTGGTCAATAATGAAGATACCTTAGCAAAATTATCTGAACATATTATATATTGCATATACTATAATTTAATACCGAAAATGTATGAATTTCGTCTGCGAATTACCCCAACTCCCATACACTATATACAACATAATGATTTTCGTTATTCTAACAAACTTTATGTTGAATATGTTGGTCAGTGTGGGAGTTGTATACATATGTATTTATAAAACTGCTTAAAAATTTTTTATCGACTATACCTGAGCAATGTTAAAAGTTAGTGCAATCAGTCCAGATCTTTCTCTGTCCCCAATATGCACTATATAATGATTTTCAATATTACGCCAGGCTTTAAACCGTTTAGTTTGGTGAAGATGTGTGTTGTTTTATTAAATTTTATTTATATTTATTAAATAACTGAGAGTTTAATTTTTCTTAAAAATTATATGGCTTAGCGCTGAATTAGTTTGGAATTAGTCTATACCTGGGTCCATTCTCATATCCATAATATAAAGAATTACGATTCGCTTGAGTTGATTACTCATTTGAGGATGCTTTTAATATAATTTTTATTGACGGGAACTAAAATATAGTAATAAAATTAAGAGGTACATGGAACTCGTCGAGCAAAAAACGCCCTATTTTGAATAATTTTTTTTTCATATAAACAATTACATATTTTATTAAAACTTTTTATTACATCGAGGATACATATCTGATAAAGACTTTGTAAAATTTTTAAAGGAAAATAGTCAAAACTCAGTCATTGCGACGTCATTTCCGGCAGTCCCTCGGAAAAAGGTGCTTCCGCGTTGACAGCAGAATGTCTGACAGGATCATCAAAAGTAAAAAAAAAAAAAAAAAAATACGTGTTTGAACTAAAACCATTAATTAGAAATTTGCATTTTTGGCAGACTTTTTTATAAAAACATGCATATTTTGGTGAAAACTTCTCGACGTTTTTTGTTTTTTAAATAGTTGTATTTGAACAAAAAAAATCATCCGCGGCAAGACCTTGTAAATTATAAATATCTCAAAACCCTGTGTAAAATTTCATTAAGATTGGTTCAGCTGTTCGTGAGAAATCTTGATATCCGACTTAGAAAACACAGTTTCGAGAAAAACGCTTTTAAAGTTTTATGCAACTATATAGCTGACTTCGAGCGCGCAACTTTGCAAAGCTGTAGCTCCAAAACTATTACAGGTATTAACCTGAGAGCAATATTTTAGAGAAGTTATAAAACTAAATAAGAATTAATAAATATATTTTTTTTGATGCCGTGAAACCCATGTAACCCCTTAAGTGAGTCTATGACCTTCAATATAATTTACTAAGACACTAAAATTTATTGTAATCTATTCACGGGTTGATGCCTGCAAGTTGCGAGAGTATAATATTATATGTTCGGTTGCACCTGAACTTAGCCCTTCACTACTTGTTTTTTTTTTATATTGCTGATTTCTGTCATATTTGTGTTATTACATTTTTGCTTAGCTCTGTGATTTACTTCTAATTAACTTTTTAGAATTTGTGAAATACATAACATATTTGATTTAATTTACAATCATTTGCTGTTTCTAGATTCCATCGCATATTCTTTGGAAAATCACGACATCTCACGCGCTTCGAGAGAGAAGAGCACAACTTTCGTATGAATTTTTCCTGGTGGCTTATGTGTTTCAAGAATTGGCGCTGGGAACACAACTATATGATTCAACCAGATATTAAACTAAAATATAGTGTGCTTGTTTCATATATAATTATTTTATGCACAATTGCCATGCAGGCCATTAATGCCAAGTAAGTGATCTAAATTAAAATACACTACCTAATATACTCGTAACGTTAGAAATTTCTTTTACAGACAAAGCATAAAATTTTGGGTCTTGGTGGCTGTTGGAAATATATTGATGTTGTTAGTTTTGGGCTTGGTCTGGTACAAGAAACTATGGGAAGTGTGTCGAAAAAATTGGTTTCACATGAAACCGCGCAATAAAGCCAGTCGTTGGATTTATGGACTTTCTGAATTCACACAAAGGGTGTTCAATGTGCGCATTTGCATTTATTTGGGCATTTTAATACTACAGTTAAGTTATACACTAATACAACTGGTAAGCAAAGTAATTTGTAGAGCTTGAAACACTATTAGCATTTGAAACTAAATCCTATTTCATCTAATATACATCTAATCAGTTAGATTGCGATCGCTTTCAAATTGAAAATCAGGAAATTGAGATTCTACTTTTTGAGGATGGTACCAGGGATATACTGTGCTTTAATACCTGGGTGCGTGCTTCTCTACTTAATTATTCTATATGTTCTCATACAACTATCGATCTTTGCAGGCTGTCACTGAATGCATTGTCATGAATTTATTTCTAAATTTTCTATTCTCGGGCATTACTTATATTATTAAAATAGCTGTTGGCCTTTTCACAATCATTAGTTACATAATTATCATAACCGTTTTGTATGACTTTGTCTACGAACGCAGTCTGAGTTGTAATAGTCATATTTATCCTGAATATTCGCATATATTTGTGTCCGTTCTGACCCTTGTCATAATTAACATGATCAATCGTCAAAAAGAGTTCATCTCACGTGTGGATTATTAGTAAGTAACGTTAAGTGAAAATGTTTAATAATAATTTATTTTGAATATTGTTCTTTATATTTACCATTTTATAGTTGGAAACGAGAATTGAAGAAAAAACAGGAAAATGCTAAACTAACAAATGAGACGATTTCCCGATTAGTCAGTAATATTTTGCCATCCCATATAGGTGAGGAATTTATTGATTTTTTAAAGTTACAGTAAAGCCAAAATGTATTTAAAAAAGCACGAGTCGAAGGTATGACCCAAACATTTTAGATATTTTCCCCCAACTTCTATAAGTTAGGTTAGATTAATAAATCTATCCTTAAGTCTGAAATACATTTGTTTTAACACCTCTTGACTGACCTCAACATATTTAGTATTTCCATAATTACCTGATTAGTCTTAACACCTGACTAGTCCTTGGATCGCTACGAAAAGTTATTCGGATTGCGGTAGGAGAGAATGAATGGATTGTGTGGCGTTTATTTTCTATTCCACGAACACTTACGATGTACTTAGAGTTTAGCGAAATCAGAGCTGGGTAAGAGGGTACTTATAATTATGGATATAAAAACAGGTGTCTGATGTATTATCGGCAGTCGATCAAGTCGAGATTAGAATTTTAGCATTTGTTATTTTTAATAATAAAGGCTTTGAAGACCTACATAAGTATAATTAATACCTTTTAAAGCTTCGCATTGGAACCGTAAGCCGCGTGAGGAATTTAAATAACAAACCTACTCAGCCTAAAAAACTGAAAAAAATAATATTTTACGATTAAAACCCATAAAAAATGGCAAAATTTTTAGGATAGCGCCACCTAACCTAATTTTAGGTTGAAATAAGTTTTTATTCATTTAAACACTAAGAATATTGGGTTAAACTAACCGGTGTTATGGTTAGTAGTCGATTTGGTTTAGTAATTAAAGATATTGTTCGGTCGTTCTTCACCCTAAATTACCTTTTTTTATTTTTAACACTTTAATATATAATTTGGTTTTCTCTTAGTCGACATTTATATGGACAATCAGTTGACCAACAAGCTCTACTACGAAGAATACTCCAATGTAGCTGTAATCTTTGCAACGATTCTGAATTTCGACATTGAAGTTGTCGGCATGCGTGTTTTAAACGAAATCATTTGCGATTTCGATGAAGTGGTAAGCAATTCTCTATTTTAACTTTTGCTTATCACTTGAACAATCTTCAAAATATAGCTAAGCTCATTCAAAGGCGTGCATAAAATTGAGAAAATCAAGGTAGCCGGCTGGACGTACATGGCGGCCTGTGGGCTGAATACCACCGGAACGGGGCATAGAGGTTCGATAGAAAAGCGCGCAAGTGCATTCTCATTCGCCTACAATTGGCGTAGAGATCATTTGGGTAAATAAATTTTTGATTTGGAAGATATTAAATTATTTAATTTTACTTAAAGTTAATTAATTTTATTTTTTTGATATTATATAACACCAAGCCAACAGGACAGCAAACATTAGTGACTTATTTGGTGCTGTTACGGATAAGTCGTCAACGACCGGTGGCACCACACGACGTCGATCGGTGCGCATGTTCAATGATGGCGAGGAGCCAATCACCGATGATGATGTCGTTTATGTTATGGCGCGCTTTGGTTTGAGTTTGTTGCATGCCATGGACAATTTCAACAAAAATAATTTCTATCACGATATGGAAAGTCAAGTTATTGGCGATTTACGCATTGGTAATACGAAGTAAAATCATTTGAATGGTAAAATACTCACTTTGTCTTACACTTCATATAAGGTATAGCGAATGGTCCCGTTATGGCCGGTGTTGTTGGCTTGTTTAAGCCGCATTATGATATCTGGGGCAATGCTGTGAATATGGCGGCGCGCATGGACTCCACTGGCGTGGCTAACCTAATTCAAGTCACTGAGGAAACTGCCAACATTTTGACACTTCACAACATACACTGTGTGTACAGAGGCATAACATATGTTAAAGGACGCGGTTCCATACCGACATATTTCATAGATATTGATGACCGTTTACAATTTAGAAAGTCTACATTAGAAGAAACAGATATTGATCCATTATAATAGTGTGAGAGCTAAATGATTATAACTGAATTTGCAATATATTATAAATATATTATAATTATTATCATAAGCTAATGTGAAATAAAATAAATATATATTTAAATAGATAGTTAAACGAGTTCAAGTGAGAATATGTCATGTGGCAGCTGAACAAAGTTTTAAAGGGAAATTCATTATTTTAAAGATGCAAGTTTAGCGAACTCAAGGGACTTCTTCAACAGTCAAGGCGGTAAACGAAAATACGAGTATTATTTTAGTCAGAAAAAAATAAAGAAAGAAGAGAAAGTGTAAATGCGATAGAGAGAGATAAATATTACAGGTGGATTTGGGTAAAAAAAAAATATTTTTTGACATTCTATGCTATTTGTTGTGTATAAGCTTAACTTCTTGAGTTAATAAGCCAATTAGTATGTGAGATAAAATTCGACATATGTATATTGTCAAGGAATACAATTCAGAATTTAACTTTTCGACAACAAACAAAGACCAACGTAAGAAAGTAGTAAGCGAAACAATATTTCTGCCTCAAAACTGTAAAATCATTTTTATACCCTACATTTCGTGATTTGGCAAGTCTAGTATTGCAATCTTGAAACTCACAATTTTATCGTAAAGTTTGACATTTTATACATACTCAGAACGTTTTGACATACTAGCGCTATTTATGTTGTTTACAGTAACTTAAAATATTCATCTTGTCCAAAAAATGGAATTAAATCGCGAACATTTTCGCGCGATAATTTTTTACAACTTTCGACGTGGATTAACTCAGCAATAGTGCATCGATGAATTTAATTAAATTTTTGGCAATCAAGCTCAATTAAGCACCAGTGTTTATCGATGGTGTGATGAGTTCAATGTAGGTCGTAGATCACTCTAAGACGAATTTCGTGAAAGTCGGCCAAAAGCAGTTGTTGTTCCGGAAACTATTGATGCTGTGCGCAAACTGATATTGCAAGATCGACATGTGAGACAATTATAGGCACTACTGTTACTGTCACACATTCAATATTACCTGAACATTTGAGTGTAAAAAAAAATTGTTCACGTTGGATCCCACGAATTTTGACAATCGCTCATAGCAGTGCTGATGAATCGTGAAAGAATTGGACATGTCGCAATCCTACTACTAGAACAACACAGAAGAGTAAATTCTGCGTGGTATACAACCATTTGTTAATCAGTTGTCTTTCAAGAAATCAGGAAAACCAATGACGTCTTTTTATTTCCGTACGTAAAGTTTTTGAGATATCACTAAATATACTGAAGTTTTGCATACGTCTTTGTTTCTCCAAGAAGTTGATTATATATCGGAACTGTCGAATCACTATGACATATAGTTGCCATACAAACTGAAACGATCAAAATCATATCTTCACAAAATTTAGGCGTCGGTATAATCTCTGCAAAAATTGTTCAAAGCAGACTATTATGGTATATAGCTCCATACAAAAGAGAAAGATCAAACTCCAATCCTTGTTTGGAAAACTTTTTTATTTGACAGGATATCTTCTCGAAATTTGACATGAATTCTTTTTCAAGGCAACGGTACAATATAGGAAGAAATTATTCAGAACGGACGCCAGCATATACGAGTAGTTGCCATATAAACTGACAGACTAAAATCAAGTTCTTGTATGGAATCTTTTGTATTTGTAAAGTTGTATTATAGTTGCGGTGCAACCGAAATTACCGTTTTTTCTTTTTAATACCAAATTTTGCATTGAAAATTAAAAATTAAATCGAAATTCGAAAGTAAATATTCGAAATTTAGTTTTTTATTCCGAAAATCGGAATCAAAAAATTTTCAATTGTGACATTTTATTATATTATATATGAATGAAAAAGAAAAATGGTTTTGTGAACTCAATTAGTTCGTTCGATACCATATATTGAGGGCTAAAGTAGTTAGGTAGAGACATAAAGAAGACCTAGAATAAATAATACTCTTCAGTTTATTAGTTAGAAAGAATATAAACAAGTTATACGAAAAGATAATATTTGCTACCTAGATGCTTACATAAATTGACTGGGTGAGTTCGCTGAGAACGCTTTATATCAAAAACTGTTTCATATGAAGACACATATTTTATGAGTAGTCTATCTATAATTTTCTTGCTTGGAATTGAGCTCAAAAATTATTTTTGTTGGTCCTACATCATTTCCGTCGTCATATCAATTCAGATTTAAAAAGATTTAACAATTTTTCTTCAATATAAAAACTTTTGCAACAAGCAAAGTACCGTCCTGCATATATCTTAAAATACAATTCCACATAATCTTAAAATATGCTAACTGACAGACTTTGTTGTGTTAAAATATTGCACTTGACAATGGTAAAGAAAGCGAGAGAGAGAGAGCATCTTTGAAATTTCTTGGCAACAAAATGCTTAGAAACATGACATTATTGTAGTATTTGGTTCATACATAGTCCAAAAAAATTCTGTGTAGATATTTATTATTATATGCTTATGTACATATAAGACCTTTTGTCTTCTATAATATCCGATATCCTGCTTAGCTTGCTTTTTATATTGAATGCCAAAAGCATGCAACACACTGAGTTCCTCTTTTGTTTAAATTCTTTGGGCTACAGATTTTTGGCAAAAACACACACATATATATATTTCAGTATATGATAATAATACATATTTGCTGGGAAGAGCAGACATAAACTCCTTAACTTTTGAATTTGACAATTTATTTTATTTCACTTTTATCACTTGGCATGGCTCTCGGCGGCACTTTGCTTTTACTAGCAGATATTGCATTCAACTATGCTCTGTATGGGAGCGTGATATTTATGAATGAACATGAACAGCAAATGTGTGTGTGGATGTGGCTGTGCGGTCTTTGTTGACAATTGCATGCTGCTTTGAAATTGATGCTGTCGCTGTTGGTACACAGGCAGATACAGTAAAATGTCTGCGCCTGCAATTGCCATTCTTAAATCTACGTACACGCACATACACACATACATACATGAAAGCGCTAGGAAGCTATTGGCAAGCTTTAAATTGCTTGGATTTAGTTAGCAACAATTTACGGAATATGGTTTTATTTCCGGTGCTTGTCATATGTATGTATATGTATTATGATTCTACGTTATGCTTTTTTTCTCCTGCTATTATTCAATTGCATTGATAATTCGAAAATCGATCGTAGTTTAAGAAATTACATATGTAAGTTGAAATATTGTAGTCAGTTTTTAGCAGGCAATTTCAATATACTAATAGCATATTAAATTTTTATTAGTTTAATTTGCCATGGAAATATATTTTTTGGTACAATTGCAAAACTCAATTATTTTGCATTCATATAAGTTTAAGAAGCTACTGAATTCGAAAGCCAGTGCAAAGTTGCCAGTTTTTTCTGCCATTTTGTCTTCAAGATATCCTCAATTAATATGAAAATTTAATTTAATTATACCCTGAACAGGTTTTAAGCGTACCACGAAGTTTGTAACACCCAGCAGGTAACGTTGGAGAACCCATAAAATATTTACAAAAATGATAAGCATGATGAGCTGAGTTGAGTTAGCCATGTACGTCTGTCTGTCTGTATATATACGAAATAGACCCACAGTTTTTAAGCTAGCGATCTGAAATTTTGCACCTGTTCTTTCCTCAATAAGAAGCGATATCGGACCACTATAACATATAGCTGCCATTCTAACTGAATAATCGCAATCAAGTGCTTGTATGGGAAACTTTTTCGTTTGATAAGATAATTTCATGAAATTTGGAACGAATTATTATCTAAAGCAATAATGGAATATTTAAGGAAATAGATCGGATCACTATAGCATATAGCTGTCATACAAACTGGCCGATCAAAATCAATTTCTCGTTAGGAATCTTTTGTATTTGTGAAGGGTTTTATAGCTTCGAAGTGCAGCTTTTTTTTATCTAAAATGTAATGGGTTAATAAAAATTTCAATATTTTCAAAATTCCTAAACAATTTAAAATTAAAAAAAAATTTATATACAGATTTTTACTCTTCAAAATAAATTAAATCTATATTTAATTTTAACAGGTTTGCTTTATTTACCCTTAATCGAATTAAATTTAATTTTAACTCAATATTCCAGCTATATAACTAAACCACAAAATTTGTAACTGTTAACTATCCATTTAATTTAAAAAAAAGAATATCATTCTATTATGAACAACGACAATATTTCTTCGGAGTTTCACTTTATTAGTAACTTAAGTTACTTTTATATTTTTGTAAAAACTACACTTCTTTATGTTTTAAAAAGGGATAGTAGAAATTTTACTTAACTACTAAAGTATCCATAAATGATATGTTGAAGGTCACTTACCTTTTAATGTAATCGGCTGGAAAATATTTAAGATATGCAGAGTTATTGGAATCGACCTTTTCATCAATAAAACAATAATTAGTTTTCTATGTTTTGACTACGATTTTCAGCCTCAGCTATGTATGTTGTTGGTTGTTATGGTTCTTGGAAAACAAAATAATACATTAAAATAAATAAGAATTAAATGTTTTATTTTAATCAATTGATTTTACTTACCGTTAATTGTAGTCGACTGGCAGTTTTTTGAGTGTTTCATTTTTATTTGCGTTTATTGAGCTGTCTTCTTTTTGATCTTTAATCAAAAATTTTTATATTGAATTTCGAAAACAATTTTACAGGCTCACCGACTAACGCTACCGGTTATCTGATTTTCTTAAAACTAAATACCTTTAAAAAAACGAAAATAAAATGATATATTACAAATGGAAATTTTATTTATACTTTATTTAAATTTTATTTACCTTTTGATTTATTCAGCTGTCCAGCTTTTCAGATATTAATGATTTCCTTTACATTTACTTTGATTGTTAAATAAAGAATTTTATTTGCCAATATTTTTAAAACGATTTTCAGGCTCATTAACTGCCGTCACCATTGAATGCTGGATAATCTGTTTCTGTTAAGAAAATAAACAAGTAAAATATTTTTTTTAGAAGCAATTTCAAATTTCTAACTTCGTTATTTTAAATGAAGCCCCAAACTAGAATGCTTGGAATTTATAATAATAATATTTAAACTAAAAAAACGA